GCGACCCTCACAGGAGCGGCTCAGGACTTCATGTCTGCCATGGCAACCATGGGGCTGTCCCAACAAATATCTGGCCCCACCCACTGTGCTGTACATACATTGGACTTGGTTTTCTGTCAGGGATGGGAGCAGGGTGGCGGTGTGGAGGAGTTATCCATCACTCCGTTGCCATGGACCGACCACTTCCTGATCAGATTTAGGCTCACTGCGCCCCCTAACCTCTGCAAAGGTGGAGGACCCACTAAGATGGTCCGCCCCAGGAGGCTTATGGATCCGAATGGATTCCTGACGGCTCTTGGGGATTTCCCCGCCACCTCGGTAGGTGACCATGTCGAGGCCTTGGTCGCTCTCTGGAATGGGGAGATGGCCAGGGCAATTGACATGATCGCTCCGGAACGTCCCCTCTCAAGTAGCCGAGCTAAACCAGCTCCTTGGTTCACTGAGGAGCTGGCAGTGATGAAGCGAAGGAAGAGGGAACTAGAGAGCGTGTGGCGTTCGGAGCCGAGCGAGTCAAACCGAACACGGTTTGTGTCCTTTTTAAGGGCATATGCCGCGGCAATAAAAGCCGCAAAGAAAACTTTCTTTGCGGCCACTATTGCGTCTGCAAGGAACCGTCCGGCGGAGTTGTTCCGGGTTGTCAGAGGTCTTTTAACTCCCGCCACCTCAGGCGGGAGCCCTGACAATTCGGCCACGCGCTGGCGAAGCATTTGCTCGGTTCTTTGCTGACAAAGTCGCCTTGATCCGTTCTGAGCTGGACACCATGTTAAATGCAGTCTCTGTGGATGTGACACGAGAACCTGCTTGTCCTATTTTGATGGATTCTTTTCAGTTTGTGAAACCCGAGGATGTGGACAAGATACTTGGAGGAATGAGGCCCACCACGTCCATCCTAGACCCCTGCCCATCCTGCCTTCTGAAGGAGGCCAGAGGGGGATTGGCTGAGTGGGTAACGGTGGTGGTTAATGCCTCCCTTCGGGAAGGCAAGATTCCAGCGAGCTTAAAACAAGCTATTATAAAACCGCTGTTGAAGAAACCATCACTGGACCCCACTAAATTTGACAACTTTCGGCCTGTTTCCAATCTCCCCTTTTTGGGCAAAGTCATGGAAGCGTGGTGGCCTCACAACTCCAGGTATTCTTGAGAGACACGGATATTCTGGATCCGGCACAGTCTGGCTTCAGACCGGGACATGGTAATGAGACGGTCTTGGTCGCCTTAGTGGATGATCTGCGCCGGGAGCTAGACAGGGGGAGTGTGTCCCTGTTGGTGCTCCTGGACCTCTCAGCGGCCTTCGATACCGTCGACCACGGTATCCTTCTGGGGCGCCTTGCGGAAATGGGCCTTGGGGGCACTGTTTTGCAGTGGCTCCGGTCATTTCTGGAGGGCCGCACCCAGAAGGTGTTATTGGGGGACACCTGTTCGACACCACAGCCGTTGACCTGTGGGGTCCCACAGGGCTCCATATTGTCCCCCATGTTGTTTAACATCTACATGAAGCCGCTGGGCGAGATCATCCGGAGTTTCGGGGTGCAGTGTCATCTGTACGCAGATGATGTCCAACTCTGTCACTCCTTCCCACCTGCTACTAAGGAGGCTGTCGAGGTCCTGAACCGGTGCCTGGCCGCTGTAACGGTCTGGATGAGGGCGAACAAATTGAAATTAAATCCAGACAAGACAGAGGTACTCCTTGTCAGTTGCAAGGCTGAACAGAACATAGGGTTACAGCCTGTGATTGATGGGGTTACACTCCCCCTGAAGGCACAGGTTGTCAGCTTGGGAGTGATCCTGGACTCATCGCTGAGCCTGGAACCCCAGGTCTTGGCGGTGGCCAGGGGAGCTTTTGCACAATCTCGTGCGCCAGCTGCGCCCGTACCTCGGGAAGTCTGACTTGGCCACGGTAGTACACGCTCTGGTCACATCCCGCCTTGACTACTGCAACGCTCTCTACGTGGGGCTGCCCTTGAAGACGGCCCGGAAGCTCCAGCTAGTCCAGCGCGCGGCAGCCATGTTACTAACAGGAGCGGGACGCAGGGAGCACACAACGCCCTTGTTGTTCCAGCTCCAATGGCTGCCGATCTGCTACCGGGCCCAATTCAAGGTGCTGGTGTTGGCCTACAAAGCCCTAAACGGTTCCGGCCCAAAATACCTTTCTGACCGCATCTCGGCCTATGAGCCCACGAGGACCTTGAGATCGTCTGGGGAGGCCCTTCTCTCGATCCCGCCTGCCTCACAGGCACGTCTGGCGGGGACGAGAGGATAGGGCCTTCTCAGTGGTGGCCCCCGGCTATGGAGCACCCTCCCTGTTGACATCAGACAGGCGCCCTCCCTTATGTCATTTCGCAAAAGCCTAAAAACATGGCTATTCGAGAAGGCCTTTAACTAAGTGCGATAACAATTGGCTGACGACTGGAACGGAATATGGATTATGAGATTGGTTTATGATTCTATGATGAGACGATGCGGATGATTTAGTTTAATTATATGATTGTGGTATTATTGATTGTTATGTAGATATTCGTTATGCTATGGCTTATTGTAAACTGTTTTTATATGTTGTACACCGCCGTGAGTCGCCCTAAGGGGCTGAGAACGGCGGTCAACAAATGCAATAAATAAATAAAAATAAATAAATAAGATACATGATCCAAACAGCACTCTCAGCACTCTATTGATAGTAACCTGATTTTAAAAATCAGCCTAGTATAATGTATCCCTGGAGAAACCGTCATTCTTTATAACCTGGTCTTGGATCTTCCTCTAGTATTAAAACCAAGCTAATCAGCTTGTAGTTTTAAAGATCTTTGTTTCCCTCACTTTTAATATTTGAACATAAACCAACTGCTTACCTGCAGCATCAAAGTACTTTAAAATAATTCAATAGAATAGTATGGAGTCTCACATGTACATTAGGGGTATATAAATAACAGAACTGTATGGCATCCCAAGGACCATCTAATCAAAATCCCTTCCAGTACAAAAATCCACTGTTGGGATTATGTCAGGCGTCATTCCAACAAAAAAACAAACACCATCTTCTCAGAGTCACTACTATATTCTAATGTCAAATGGCTCTTACCATCTGGAAATTATTCCCAATATTTAGTTAGAATTTCCTTTCTTATAATTCAGATTCATTTGAATTCTACCCTCTGGAGTAGCACAAAACAAGCAAGCTTGTTCCACCTTCCACATGATAATCCTTCACGTATTTGCCCAAATTACTTTGGTTTATTTCTAGGGTTTCTTGTTCTGGTACATGTATTGGGAATCTTTGAAAGGAAATGACATGATTGCATAATTCTTGGCGTGCCTTCTATACGAAATGGATCGTTATGCACCTACAATCACGCTGCATCCATAAGCTCCAAAGCAAATTCATTAATGTTTAAAGGACAACATTCATAGCTGTTAAAGCATAACATTTTGCTCTGCACAACAAAGAGGCAACATGGGAAGAACTTCTGGGTTTCATAACCCAGCTGTACATTTGGATCTTTAACAAGAGAAGCAGGCTGAACTTGGTTTATAATGTTTCACAAGATTCAAGTTTACATGGAAACTTTGTTTACATTTAACCATTTCAATTTGGGAAATGGATTCCATTAGATGTTCAACTTGTGTTCTTGTAATTTTCAACTGCAATCACCCAGTTTAGAAACAAGAGCTGATTCTCACATTAACTCTCCAAACATAGGGAAAAGCCACAGCTGAGTGACAAAATATATGCTTTGCATTCAAAATGTCCCAGGTACCAGTCCTGGTATCTCTAATTAGGATTGAGAGTCACTCCTATGAAGGCTTAGAGAGGTGAATGATCAGACTCAGAATAGAGCAGCTTTGCATTTTCCTAGGTAAACTCACATTGAAATATGATACAAACATCTTGTTTCAACTCAAGGATGAACATTTCAGTGGGCTTTTCATCCTCTCTTAACAACATAGGCACTGAAACAAACAAGCTAATAAAAACATAGACCCAAACTGAGTTCCCACATTAGCTGCTGAAAGTGCCATCAGGGCAGAAAAGGCGGCTTTCTTTGCTGCATGTGTGGAAATGAGCTTTATTTTCTCACTTACAGAAACCCTAAGCCAAACCTAGGCAAGATTTGTTCAGTGGGGAATTGCCTTTGTCTTCTTCTCAGGCCGGGAGAGTAGGACTCCCTATAGCACCCAGTGGGTTTCCATGGTTGAGTAGAATTTTGAATTCTGGTTTCCAAAACCATAACCTAATGCTCAAACCAATACACCATGCTTGCTCTCATTTGTTGCATGTATTGTCCACTCATAGGAACAACAATGTCCTCTGATTCATGTCTTGTTGAATATAAGTTAAGACCTCCTCCATCGGCTCTCCTTCCCCTTTCAAATCTGTGAAGTTAGCTCTATACCAAGGAATCCAAGTAGTAATGAGTTGGAGGGGACTTTTGGAGCAATAATGTCAATAGCCCTAATTACATCTTGACTAGGGCTTTCATTATATCAAAATGGAGGAATTGCTGAAGATACAATAGTAGAAAATGTGTTCCAATAGTGACAAATCACCAGGAGCCCATGGTAGTGCAATGGGTTATACTCTTTTGCCAGCAGAACTGCTGACCAATGGGTCAGCAGTTCAAAAACCGTGGAGGGCGAGTTGAGCTCCTTCTGTCAGCTCCAGCTCCCCGTGCAGGGACATGAGAGAAGCCTCCCAACAAGGATGGTAAAACATCAAACATTAAGGCATCCCCTGGGCAATGTCCTTGCAGGTGGCTAATTCTCTCACATCAGAAGCAACTTGCAGATTCTCAAATTAAAATTTTTTTGAAACAGCCAACACAAAACATGAAAAATGTTGGATCTGGCATAAAACATTCAAAATGTAATACAACTTAAAATTGCAAAAATATCTACAATTCCTTTTCAGGGACAACCTGACCTTTTCCACCTGGGTCCAGTTACTATGCTAACACATGTATATTAAAGGAAAGGTAACAAAAGATACTCCAAAAGCTTTTACTTACAGGAATGAAGTGCAGCTCAATTCTTTTCGTTTTTGTTTTTAAGGTGCAGTGATTTCAGCATCTAAAATGTAACTTCAGGCACTCTGAAAAGAAACAGGTTAAAATCTCTTTCAGTTATAATTGCTATTTCAGAGTTAATTAAAAATTAAACTTTCATAATGTTTCACCATCCAAAGCAATGCATTATCAGTCAAGCATAGCTTTTTTTCCTTTTTCTTTTTAGTTAGGAAACCTCTTTCCAGAGTAGTTTGTAATGAAGAAAGGAAATAAAGAAGGCAATTCAGAATAGAAAAATACAGCTCTGCATTAAAGGATTCCAAATAGCATGGCAAAAAAGGTGGGGGAAGGGGAACTTTCTGTACCCGTATATCAACAATCTATCTTATTAAAAGAATCAGGCCTAACCATTTTTAAAAAGACAGATGAAATTACCTATGATTGTGGGAGGAATGAGCAACAAAAAAAACCTACACATACAAAATGAAGAATATTTTAGGACAAAGCTATAATGAAAGAAGAACTGCACTTTTAAATAGTGTCAAGCAACATGCAAGCAATCTTCCAACTTTTCCAGGTTGGCTGCTGGTTCCTGTGTTGATACACCCACATGCCCACGTTTTTTTTAAAAAAAATAATGCTTTATTTCTATTTAACTTTCAAATTGTTGCACAGAAAGGAAAAACAAAGGCAAGGGGGACAGCCTACAATTTTGTTCAAAACAACTGGTTCTAAAACTTCCACTCTTTTGTGAAAGAGAGCATGAAGGAAGCAGAGAAAGACGCACTAACTGGTTAAGATACAAATCTTGCCTTTTTGCTACTTATACAGAATCCAGCTTTAGGTTAAAAAAACAAAAAACAAATATGTACAACTGGAATTGTGATATTAAAGTTCCATAGCTTGTTATGATCTAAATGCAAGAATAAACACAGTTGTCTTTCCATGTTTGCAGATTTTATCATGCACGTGTTATTTGCTGCCACTGGCACTATAGCCCTACACCATTTGTAATAGTGACTTTGATACACCAGTGTCTATCTTGTTCAGTTGAGTTTGTGTGTTCCTGCATGGCAGGAGGTTGAACTGGAGGCCCTTGTGGTCTTTTCAACTCTATGATTCTATTATTCTAAGTCACAAAATAGTCATTCTATTACTATTATTCATTCTTTTGTTGTTATTGTTATTATTATTTGAAAAACAACAAGATTAGTACACAGCAAACAAGATCACTACACTGGCAGTTGTATTGGATCACACGACAGACACTTCCCAAGTGTTATGTATCGGCAAATAATGTGTGCAGATCCGAGTAGGGTGGCCTTTTGCAGCTGACAAATGGTAATTTTGTCAGCGTCAATTGTGTTTAAGTGCCGGCCAAGGTCTTTAGGCACTGCACCCAGTGTGCCGATCACCATTGGGACAACCTTTACTGGTTTGTGCCAGAGTCTTTGCAGTTCGATCTTTAAATGTTCATATTGTGTCAGATTATTATTATTATTATTATTATTATTATTATTATTATTATTATTTATTCTTAGTCATAAAAAGTCAGTGATTAAGTATTTCATCTCTAGTAGGATATCAAACTGGCTAGACCTGGCCATGCATGCATTTCCTCACTTCGGTGGAAGGGAATGGGATGGGGAAGCGGGAGAGGGAGAGAGGTAAGGACTGGGATAGGGAGGGGGGAGGAGAGAGCATGGGGCAGGTGGATGGAGTGAGGGTGGCTGCGGGAGGAGGGCAAGGGTGTATTCAATTTCCTCTTCCCCTCCACAAAGGCAGAGACATTGTGATGCCAAAGGAAGGTATAAGCTAAAGCTGTGAGGGGGGCAGTTAAGATATTTGCAGTATTTCAACCTCTTTGGGACACTGCACCCCTCAACAGTATAGTAACCTAGCACAAGAAAGAGGAAAACATTAAGTCAATAATAATCAACAGCAAAAAGTGGCAAGACTGTCTCCTACATAAGCAAGAAAGCTACTTCATACAATCAAAGGCTTGGGGTTGGGGGATGTATACAGGATGGTCTGACAATGTTCTAGGTAGCCATGGTATTTTGTGGCCATGTAAAGGTGGCCATGTAAAGGTTTTCCAATGTGTGCATATATTTTCTGTTGTCTTAGAAAAAGAAATAAAAGCTACTTTTGAAGTGATAAAATACAGGGTTGACAAAAGTATACATACCACTTCCCTACACCCAAAGACAGCCCTCATGCAGTTAATCGTAAGTCACCATAAACCCAGAATCACATGAATCTTAAAATTAAAGCATTTTAAGTCTGAAATTGTGCATGTAATCATGTGCACTTAAATTTCCTTGTTTCTCTTTCAGCAGCTGGGAGGAAGAACATAATCTGCAATTGATTTTCTATGGTGACTTTCAGCATAGGAGATGTATTCTGCCAATGTTTAAGAGTAACTGGCAACATAATCTTTGATCACTCTTGCAAAATTCTGCTTTGTTTTTGTTCTATATCTTTAGGTTAATACAAACACTCATTAAGAAGCTCAGTAAAAGATGGCAATGTTCTATCATACTTTGTCAGAGATAATCTACACAAATGAACAATCAATTATCCACCTAAGGTTTACATCTGTAGACAAATAATCGGAAATTTATGCAGAAACCCAATGCAACTGTGGACAATGGAGATGGAATATAGGAATCATTACATTAAAAAATTCAACCAACATATATATGATTGATAAATGTGAAAGAAAAATACATACCAGTCTTCTCTGTTCAACATTAATGGATTAGTCTTTCATATAGGGACGAGGAGGTGATGAAACAATTTATAAAGTTAAAACTTTCAACATTAAAAACATTTTTTTTTAAAAAAAAATCCCTGATAGCATAAACATAGTTTGATCTAATGATCAAACTAATGATCTTTTCTTGGGTAAGATTTTGCAATCTGTGGTGGTTCTGAACGAATAGGAGTTTGTACAGTTAGACCTGGTGTACCAATTGTATGAATATGAATAGCATAGTTTAACAGTGATTATACTGATTAATGCTTTAACTGCTCTGATGTATTTTATAATTCTACTAGCCATCCCCTGCCACACATTGCTGTGGCCCAGTCTGGTGATCTGGGGAAAAAAGTAATGAGAAAGTGTTGGTTTTTAATATATGTAATTTCTTTATGCTTGTGGGTAAACAGTATTTCTTGTTGTTTCTTTGTCAGTGTTGATGTAAAGATTGTCTGGTTTGCCTACTTTGGAACATGCAACATATAATTGTCCTTCTTTAGGGGTCCCTTTCAAATCTATGATACTATATCTGTCATATAAATGTGTGTGAATTATATATATGTATCTATATCTATGGCTGGGTGGCTCTTTGTCAGGAGGGCTTTGATTATGTTTTCTAGCCCTGGTGAAGGGAGTTGGAGTGGAAGGCGGACCTTAAGGCAACATTTCTCAACCTGGGGGTCGGAACCCCTGGGGGTGTCAGAAGGGTCACCAAAGACCACCAGAAAACACAGTATTTTCTGTTGGTCATGGGGATTCTGTGTGGGAAGTATGGCCAAATTCTATTGCTGGTGGAGTTCAGAATGCTTTTTGATTGTAGGTGAACTATAAATCCCAGCAACTACACCTCCCAAATGTCAAGGTCTACTTTCCCCAAACCCCACCAGTGTTCACATTCAGCCATATTGAGTATTCATGCCAAGCTTGGCCCAATTCTATCGGTGAGATTCAGAATGCTCTTTGATTGGAGGTGAACTATAATTCCCAGCAAATACAACTCCCAAATGTCAAGGTCTATTTTCCCCAAACTCCAGCTGTGTTCATATTTGGGCATATGGAGTATTCGTGCCAAGTTTGGTCTAGATCTTTCATTGTTTGAGTCCACAGGCCTCTCTGGATGTAGGTAAACTACAACTCCCAAACTCGAGGTCAATGCCCACCAAACCCTTCTAGTGTTTTCTGTTGGTCATTGGAGTCCTGTGTGCCAAGTTTGGTTCAATTCCATTGTTGGTGGAGTTCAGAATGCTCTTTGATTAAAGGTTAACTATAAATCCCAGCAACTACAACTCCCAAATGACAAAACCAATTTTTTGAGTGATGGTCACTCCTTGGGTTAGTAGGTGTCTTGTGGCCAAATTTGGTGGCAATTAGTCCAGCGGTTTTTGTGTTATGATGTCACTCAAAACAAACAGAACATTTATATATAGATAGATTTTAAATTTTATTGTTATTTTTTTTAATGACATCGAATCGCTGTCTATATTGTATGCTCCGGGGTGAAGAAAGGCGGGATAGAAATGACATAAATAAAGAAATAAATAGGTTCCTAGACATTTGGGATCTGTTACAAGGTTTGGTTACTGTATATATTCATATATATGTCTAGTAATTTTATTCAAAAATCAATTAAAAATACTGGAATGACTTATCCATGGGTTACTTACATCTCAACTCTTATTTAAAAAAAGAAACCATTTCCTTATCTGAGTAGAGTGGCGAAAGCTGAGGTCTTAGTATGCCCTGAGAGAACCTAAAAGATGCATCAAACCCCTCTTTTGTAAGGAAATGTGTTTAACTAAGCTTAAGGCTCTTGAGATACACACAACTAATCTGAGTATTCAACTTGTATGCAGAACACATCATGCGATGTGCAAGACTTGACAAATGCAAGGCTGGGGTAAAATTGCTGGAAGAAACATTAACAACCTTAGATATGCAGATGATACTACTCTGATGGCCGAAAGCGAGGAGGAGCTGAGGAGCCTTTGAATCAAGGTGAAAGAAGGAAGCACAAAAGCTGGGTTGCAGCTAAACATAAAAAAAATCCCAAGATTATGGCAACAAGAACAATTGACAACTGGGAAATAGAGGGAGAAAACGTGGAGGCAGTGACAGACTTTGTATTTCTAGGTGAAAAGATTACTGCAGACGCAGACTGCAGCCAGGAAATCAGGAGACGCTTACTTCTTGGGAGGAGAGCAATGTCCCATCTCGATAAAATAGTGAAGAGTAGAGACATCACACTGGCAATGAAGATCCGCATAGTTAAAGCAATGGTATTCCCCATAGTCACATATGGATGTGAGAGCTGGACCATAGGGAAGG